AAACACACAGACATTCATGCCTCAAATGCGATTCCAACCCACGACCCCAGTGTTTGAGAGGGCGAAGCCTTAGACCACGCGGCCACTGTGATCGGCACTGTTGATGCTGCAGGTACAAAATAAGTTCAAATTAGAAGCATAAGTTATGAAAAGCAGCGTGTAAAGCTGATGCTGTGCATAACCGCTGATGGTCACGACTTTACATGATTCTCAGTTACAAAACGATACCTAAGAATCAGATGTTCCTTATATGTTATTATGGATGCACAGGAAATGGATATATGATAAGTGATCTGATGAAAGACTGGGTGAAAGGAGCATGAGAAAGACGCCCTGGGGCTCTACATAACCCAGTAACTCTGTCAGTCCTTGACGCCTTTCTTTGACACTTATCTGAAGAACTGGATTTTAAACTTCAGCGGAAGTGCTGTGACTTGGTTGCAGTTTGACCACACAATGTTTAGGTTGCTAAATTATTTATTTATTATTAATTAAGGAAGGAAAACGACACTTGTTTGCTACCTGAAAGCCTTAGACGAACACCATCTCTTAGAAGGGATATTTTCGATCTTGAGAGACTGATAGGATTCACCAGACTTAACGTCTTCACATCCCAGAAGACTTGAGAAATTTCGTGACGTGAGAACCTCAAATTTCGACCAGGTACAAATATATAATTTCGCTTAGTGTGGGGTGGAGTCCAACTGGGTACACTCGGCACGACGGCCACTGATTGGCCTGTTGTAGCCTCCCCCGGGTGATTATGATGATGGAGAATTTGGTGGAATGAAGATTGGCAGAGATACCGAAGTACTCGTAGAAAACCCGCCCCAGCGCCACTTTGTCCACCACAAATCCAACTCGACCAGACCCGGAATTGAACCTTGGCGATGGGAAGCCAGCGACTAACCGCGTGAGCTATGGCGCGGCCAATATATAGTTTACTACAGTTTAATCTTTTAGGGCACGTTATAGCGTAGTTGATTGAGGCACCATGCTACGAGCCGGAAGGTCGCGGGTTTACCTCCCGATGTGGTCACTGGTTTTATCAACGTACCTAACACTTCCAGCCGCACTACGGCCCTGGGGTCGACTCAGCCTCTTAACAGAAATGAGTACCAGGCATCTTCCCGGGGGAGTAAAGGGCTGACGGCGTGTAAGGCCGACAACCTCACCATCATCTATGAGCCGATTGACTAGAAAATATGGGAGCTTCGACGTCTCACAGTCCTCACAATTTAATCCATAACTGTTTAGACATCACACGGGAATGGGGGAACGTCTGAATTAATTTGTGGGAATCTGTTCTCCGAATTTAATTTCCTCTTAATTCCTTCGGGAATGAAATGAAAAGAAACATACTCGTACCTCGGTTTGAAAAGGGTTCAGGAAATGAAATACTGAACATACTTGCAGTTTCCTGCTGGGAGTTACTTACTCGCCTATTCTCTCAGCTTGAAATTAGCGTGAATGTTAATGCACCTGCAGTCGGCATTTCAGATTTCTATAACAGTGTTGCGTCAGGCGTAACATTCCTCGACACACGATTAGGCTGAAGGCGGAAAGTTTCGTAATTCGCAGTAATTCAATTGCGGAAGTTTTGATCGTTAAATGCAGATACCTGCAGGACCAACGAATGGACCCTCACGCAGCTCCAGCATTCCAAATACCGTGAATACGTGTGTCAGAAATGTAAATGAGGGGCCAGGCCTGTTTGGCACACTGCCCTGCATCATATCCTGTGAACACTTAAACTTCTATATACTTCCTGGTGACCGAGCAGGTACACTGAAGCAGTAACATTTTTCATTTGTATTCACGAGATGTCCTATTCGAATTTCAGCCGGAACATCAACTATCGTGGCAGAAACTCTTCGTGGCTTCACTTCATCCAGGAAATTTTCAGGATTGTACCCAATTTTTGGCCACGACGACTTTTTCCCACATCCTTTCCAATTCATTATTCATTCGCATCCTACCTTTCAATGCCATTTATCCTGAGAGACTAATAATTTCTCTATATAAATCATAACAAGCGTTTCCTGGCATCCTGATTTCAGAGTGTACACTACTACGTATACATGCATCCATATATCTAAACGCAATTGAAATCGGTAATTGACGCAGGGCTCTGGTATTTGTGATGCTTTGTGAAAATGAAGAGCTGTGCTAAAAATAAATCTTCCACAATATGGTAGCGTAGTTGGTTGAGGCACTATGCTACAAGTTGGAAGGTAGCGTGATCGAATCCCGATCATGTCATTGGATTTTTCACTTGATGTACTACAGGGTGGGATGCAGAAACTTCCTTTTTTGAAGGCGAATAAAAGAAAAATTATTGCTGATAGACAAAATTTATGGTTAAGTAATGAAAAACATACTTTAAAGTTTTAAATCATGTAGGTTTAAACAAAATATCTTGAAGGCGGTGGCCACCGTTCTCTATGCACTGATGCAACCGTTTTCTGAAGTTCCCCTCCACACGTTCCAACATGTGCACCAGACTTTGGGCTACTTCCTGCCGAATAACATTCTTCAGCTGAAGCAGGTTTGTGAGGCGATATTTAAAAACCTCTGCCTTGAGGTATCCCCATAAAAAAATCACAGGATGTTAGATCAGGTGAGTGCGCTGCCCACGGGATATCACCTCGAAGCGAGATGAGCCTTCCGGGGAACTTTGCCCTCAAAACTGTCATCGAAGCTCGGGCTTCGTTGGCCGTGGCACCATCTTTTTGGAACCAGACACTTCCTAGATGCATTTTTTCAAGAGCTGGTTCGAAAAAGTTTTTAATCATGTCCACATACCGCTGTGAATTGACAGTAACTGCATGATTGTCTTCTTCAAAAAAAAAAATAAGGGCCAGTAACTTCAACTCTCGACAACGCACACCATACTGCCACCTTATCACTGTGAAGTGGCCTCTCATGGAGCTCTCTGGGATTGTTACCACTCCAATAGCGCATATTCTGCTTGTTGACATATCCGGATAGGTGAAAATGTGCCTCATCACTAAAGAAAACAAGTGCATCGGGGGGTAAAGTTTCCAATAACGTTTTGCACGCCGTTATTCGGTTCTGGAAATCACGTGGTGACAATTCTTGCAGAACAACCATCTTATAGGAATGGAAATTAAGATCTTCGTGAAGAATTCGGCGCACTGAACGATTGGATATGTCTAGGGCGACTTCATGTTTGCGAGCGGAGCGTCTTGGAGATCTCAAAATCGATTGTCGAACTGCCTCCACATTTTCTGGCGTCGTAACGGTCCGTTGTCGTCCTGATGATTTTTTACCACACTCCCGGTTTTCCTAAAGTTCTCTACCCACAAAACAATCAATTTCCGGTCGGGAACCGGACCTCATGGCTTAATTCCGAAGTGAGTACGGAACGCACGCTGCACCGCCACGTAGGAATGATTGTTCGAAAAATAGGCTTTGACAGGAAACGCACGCTGCTCACTCGTCCACCTCGTTTCCTACTGAGGGGTATTAGACAGAAACTTCCGCGATTGCTGCGTTCGCCGAGCCTATCCCCACTTTTCTGCGACCTCCCCTCCCTTCACAATGCGTCTACACAAAAAGTAAGTTTCTGCGCCCCACCCTGTACTTCCAGCCGCACTATGGCCCTGGGGTGCACTCAGCCTCTAAGGGAAATGAGTACCAGGAATCTTCCTGGGGGGTAAAGGGCGGCCGGCGCGTAAAGCTGACAATCTTACCGCCATCTGTGAGTTGATTGTCTGAAAGATGTGGGAGCCTCGACGTCTCACAACCTTATGGACCTTCACGGCCTGTTACAGGGACACCTTTACCTTCTACCTTACCGATGGATAATTACAAAAATATGTTCCAGTTTAGTAACACACCTTCATCTGAAAATTGTAGACTCATATTATACGTAAGCTTGCCTGAGCACGACACTAGCAATACCTGCACATACTGTGCCTAGTATCCAGTCTCATGATTTCTTGTGTGGGTAAAAGAGGTAAAGCTATTCCTGTAACAGGCCCTGGAGGCCTGGATGTTGTAAGACGTCGAGGCCCCTATATTTTCTAGAAAATCGGCTCGCAGATGGCTGTTAGTTTGTCAGCCTTACGCACCGGCCACCCTCTATTCCCAGGAAGAATCCTGGCACACATTTCTATTAGAGGCTGAGTGGACCCCAGGGCCATAGTGCGGCTAGAAGGATTAGGTAAACTGGAAAAAATCCAATGATCTCGTTGGAATTCGAAACCGCGACCTTCCTGCTTGTAGCATAGTGCCTCAATCAAGTACTCTACTGCGTGTACCTTTCTTGTATGGAGCTAGAGGCTAATAGAAGACCATAGTAACCGACTCCGTATCATTATCACTAACCAAGGAAGATCTACCTTCATATATTTAACTTACTCTGACAAGCATTGCAGGGAGTGAACCTCCAGTCTTACGAAACAGTGTAGCTCAAGAGATAACGCTTCTAATTTATATTCGGGAGGTACCAGTTTCTATTCTCAACCGACAAACTTACAGTCCGAACTGAGGTTTTTCGTGGTTTTCCTCAATCCCCTTACGCGCATTCTGGCATAATAAGAGGATGTTTTCTTTCAACATCCTTTTCATCTCATTATACAATGACTATCTTGCCATTCAATGCTACATATTTTGATCTACTGATATCGTCGTTAAATAAAAAAAACTCCGTGGTTTTAGTCCTCAAGCAGACTATACCGACCGAGCGACCGCCGCTTATCGGAAGTTAGTGCCAACTTTTGCGGATAGAGGTTGTCACGTGGTCAGCGCAACGGATCCCCACGGCCATTTCCTAGACCGGAGCTGCTCTTTCCTTGAAATAGCTCCTCAATTATCCTCACGAGGCTCTGACCACTAGACACAGAGGCGGTCAATAAACCACAAATAAATAAGGAATACGCGGTAACAGTAATTCGATCAACTTTATATTAATATTTTGTTCCGAATAAGCTTATAAGAGGAAGACTTTCTCATCTTCTGTTCTATTTTTTCAGGTTTCTAAACACTTTTATAGTCGCAATGAAATATCGTGTCATTGGGCATTTGGTCTCCTGACAACTAAAGAAAAGGAAGGGGATTGGATGAAGTGTCTGTTGTAAGTATAAGAATGAAACATTCTGCCTGACAGATACTAAGTGTGTTTTGTGTCTTGCGTTTGCGCAGATAGGGAGCCGGGTTAGCGCAGGCGGTATAGCGACTAGCTACGGTCTTGACGACCGAGGGTCCGGAATTCGAGACCCGGTAGGGTCAATAATTTTATCTTAATCATCCCAAATAACATTTACAACAAGAAGAGCTGTCTGCCCGCAATTTAGCCTCAACAACACCCTCATACTCGTCAAACAAGGAGTTAAGTATTTAGGACTCCACCTTGACGAAAAACTAACGTGGAGAACGCATATAAAAGCTAAGAGAAGACAACTATAGCTCAAAACCAGAAATATGAAATGGCTAATCGACAAAAATCACAGCTATCTCTTGAAAACAAAATAATCATATACAAAACGATAATAAAACCAGTCTGGACCTACGGGATAGAGTTATGGGGATGCAGCAAACCTTCCAACACAAAAGTCCTCCAAACGTTCCAATCCAAAACACTAAGAAAACTAGTTAATGCTCCCTGGTACGTATCAAACGCTACCTTACACAATGATCTAAGCTTACCATATGTAACAGAAGTCATCAGAGCCTACGCGGAGAAACACAAAAAACCGGACAACTCAAAACAACAACCAACTAATAAGAAACCTCTACAACCAACCAGCAATAGAAAGAGGACTAAATAGAATGTGGCCAGAGGATCTCATTAGATAAGCACCAGAGAATCATCGAAGGATGATACCTGCTTCAATATTACACACACCCATCCCTTTTACTAATTACTCTATTTATGTACCGGGTGTTCCTAAAAGAATGGTGGGGTTTCATTGCCGTATATCTCCGTCAGTTTTTGGTGATTAAAAGCAAAACGTACACGGACTCATAACGCGGCTCTTAAATTTTCTTTTTGTATATCGCGCTCTTTCCTAGTTCCATTTCCGACAGTTAGGAGGCGTGAAATGTAAGATGGCGACTGGTAACACCTATCAAGACATGCTGGAAAATTGGTTGTTTCCACAACTGGCCAATGATTCCAATGACTACATTTTCCAACAGGACGGTGCTCCCCCACATTTCCATAGCATTGTGAGAGGTTTGCTTAATCTGGTCCTTCCGCAACGATGGATTGGACGTGCTGCAGGTGAAAATGCCCATCTTCTCCGGTGGCCATCCCGATCCCCGGACATAACTCCATGTGATTTCTTCTTGTGAGTGTACGTGAAGGACATGGTTTATGTACCCCCATTGCCCCAATCGCTCCAGGATCTCCGAAACAGAATCAATCGTGCTGTGGAGACCAACACACCTGAAATGCTGCAGTGGGTTTGGCAGGAATTCGACTATCGCATTGATGTTTGCCGGGTAACGAAAGGTGCACACATAGAGGCACTTTGATGGATGTACATAAAATTTGGACAGTTAAGCTTCAGATTGACACATGTTATGACTGTACACGGTAAGAAATACGAAATATATACGTATGTAAAACCGCACAATTCTTTTAGAACACTCTGTATATTGAGTAGATTGTAAAATTATTTCAAAATTAAAAAAAAAAAATGTTTGCGCAGGAAAGAATATTATTTCATGAGGATGCAGGCTATATACGCTCTCGTCCGAAAGTTATTTCTCAGGAGGAAGGCTAATTATATTACCGGTCTCAATTTTTTCCTGTAGGATTCATAGATGCCTTAGCTGCCTTGGTTATTTGTCTTGTCTTATAAAAAGCCGTATTATATTACCATTGCCATGAGATCTTACATGAAGGCGAGATATCATTAACCGTTCCATGTGTGCTCTCTGAGTAGTTAGGATTTGGGGTGATTTAATGACGAGTCTCTCTCACTGTCGGCGGAGGAATTTCTGACTGATACGAAATTGGGTGCACATGTGATTTAATTGTGTTCAGAAGCTGTCACTCTAATATCCAGACGTGTTCTTCGAATTGAACTGAACAAGAAAACGGCCAACTGAGGTAACGTGGGAGAGCGATAGGATGAACACAAATTTGCTCTCACCCGTCTGCTTAGCAGCCATTTCCCTTCTGTTTGGCTTCCGTCACTGCCTCCTACGTTCTTCCGGGACGTGAAGGTGACCACTCACCTCCAACTAGTGATGAAGTCAAGAAAACGTGGATATATATATCCACTTCCCCTATACGTCTTCATGGCTTAGTGCTTAATTAGTTTAGCACTGAGACAACTTTATTTCTTTTTTACCCTCTTATCCTTGTTCTCTCTCTCTCTCTGTGTTCTCGGTTTGCTCTTTGCGAGAAAGGAGAGCAGTGTGCAGTGTGTGTGGGGGGGCAAGCGGCCCTTATGAAGTACCACAGCTTGTGTTCGTTATTCTTCTGACATGAGTCTCAACAGAGAAGCTAAGAACTATATTGTTAGTCGAGAAATTCCATGCCTTCTGAGTAATTCGGAGGTTCATTTCCCTGTTCACTAGGGCACCTCACTGATCTGTACCCTGAGTGCATGCTCATATCCTATTTAATGAGGATTGATTTTAATATTATCCCCTCATCTAAGCCTAGATATTCCAAATTGTCTCATTCATAATCGCTCTCATGCATGCCGCACGCCCTGACAATTTCCATTTATCATTTCATCACCATCATAATTATAATTGGCATAAGTACATATTATTAAACTGCCTCAAGCCTCCTGCTCCTTCCTCCCTTTTAATTCCGGATGTTTACCTTCTCGGCCTGTTCTTAGACGCTCCCAGTCCATGTTCTTCTCTTAAATGGAGTGACCAAGTTTCATACCTATACAAAACAACGGTTATATATTCGGAATTGTTGAGTTTCTTGTCTCCGTTATTCACGTCGTATTCTGACGACTGAGTTCAGGGGTTTCTAACTGCCCCAGTGTACTTGGTGCCTCCCTACCATTTTACCTGAAGGCGGAAACAAATTCAATTTCCTAACGTTATGTTCTCTCAGAATACGAGAGGATGGACAAGTCCGGAAAGTCGGTATTCCGAGGGCAATTCATTGACTTCAGAACAATTTAAAATTAACAGGTGGAATAGCTTTTATATTTTAAAATTTAGGTTTTTAGATAAAGGTAAAACTATCCCTGTGACAGGCCGTGGAAGCCCAAAGGGTTGTGAGACGTCGAGGTTCGCATATTTTTTGAACAATCGGCTCACAGATGACGGTAAGTTTGTCAGTCTTACGCGCCGGCCTCCCTTTACTCCCAGGAAATTCCTGGTACTCTTTTCTGTTAGAGGCTGAGTCGACTCCAGGGCCATAGTGCGGCTAGAAGAATTAGGTCCATTGAAAAATCCAATAACGTCACCGGGAATAGAGCCTGCGACCTTCCGGCATATATGTAGCATAGTGCCTCAACCAACTAGGCTATCATAGATTTGAGATATTTGTAATTGTTGAAATAAGCAGTTTATTTTATTGAATCAAGGTACGTATACCTACTGGTTAGAAACTCAAAAATATGCTGATGGGAATAGCAAATTCTATAAGGTCGATGAAATGAAGGAGGGTAAAATGGGAAGGATCTTATTACGTATAAGAGAGATGAAAATTTTGTAGAAAATTTTAGCCTAAAATTATGAAGGGATGAAACTACCTTTGAGACCTAGACAGAGATGGGAGGATACTATTAAAATGAATCTTAATTTAATAGGGTGTGAGGTTGTGCAATGGATTCATCTGGTTCCGAATAGGGGCAGTGACGGGCTCTTGTGAACACGATGGTAAGGTACGTTTTGGTTCCAGAAAGGTCGAAGAATTTCTCGTCCAACTAGGTAGGTATTAGCTTATCAAAAACAAACTCTGCCCCACAGAGAGAGCCATTTTTCACTTACTCGTTATTTGTTTTATGAAGCATTTAATTGCTAAGATTATATAGCGTCGAAACGGAAGATAATAAGTGAATAAAAGAGTTGGAAAGGATGCAGATGGAAGTGGTCGTGGCATAGTTGAGAATACTTTCTGGCATTTGTCTCAATGGACTGAGAAAACCTACGGAGAATTCCTTAGAAAGGATATCTGGTATCCGGCCGAGAACTGAACACGTGATCTGCCGGGTACTAAGCAGATTTGCTAACAAGCATTAGACAAGGACGTTCTACATCTGCGCGAAACAATCCTCCTACTTTTAAATTTAATGCTATGGAATTATTTACAACTTTGAACTTGCGCGACAACAATTGTGTCATGTAAGAATTACGTAAACAATTATAGTGCTCTTTCGAGCATAGGCAGAAAGTGATACTTCATGCATTAGGTTAGCTGTGAAACATGATAAATGAATTACGAACCAGACCTTGACCAGAAAGAGTAAGGATAAGGCAACATCCTGACATCCTTTCTAGAGCTACTGGTAACTACCTTGCTCGATAAATGAATTACGAGCCAGACCTTGACCAAAAACATTAAGGATATACGAGTATATATAGACGACATGGAGTCGGGGTAGTTCAGTCGGTATATCTACTGGCTACGGGCTAGACGACCGAGGGGTCAGAGTTTGACTCCCGGTGGGGTCAAGCATTTTCTCTTCTCCACGTCGTCCAGACCGTCGTCCCACCCAGCCTCCTATCCAATGGGTGCCTGGGGCTCTTTCCCCGAGGTTAAAGCGGCTGGGGCATGAAGCTGACCAGTCATATCCAACTAATGCTGACGTCAAGAAAATGTGGATTCATACATCCACTCATCTATACGCCTTCATGGCGTAGTGCTTAATTAGTTAAGCACAGGGAGAACTTTACCTTTTTACCGTAGATAACATGCTGACGTTCTTTCTAGAGATACTGGAAACTACCGTGCTTTCTCCCTTCTTCTGCCGGGCTACTGACTGGACGTCCGGGGTTCGATTCCCAGTATGGGCACTAGATTTTTTCCTACTCCACAGCATTCAGACCTGCTTTGGAACACATCCTGCTATTGAATAGGTATTGGCGGTTCTTTCCCTGGGGTAAAGAGGCCGGAGCGTAAAGTTGGATACCCACCTCCATCTGGTGCCA